GGTGTAGACAGACTAATAATGCAGCATTACGGTACTCAAACATGTGTGAACAAAACAAAACACAACTCCAGGTATGTTTTTGAGAAGGTAACAGTAGTTAAAAAGTTGTGAGCAATATAGGAAGCAGGGTTGGGTATCATTAAGAAGTTGCCGATACAATACATACCTCCACAGGCCACGATACAATACATATCTCGATACAGTGCATTTTCAGTTCGATACGATATATTTCAAATTGATCCAATATGGTTCAATAAAAAAATTAAGGCTAAATCATGTTTGTGATACTAAAAGTCTTTGTTAAACCACTTCTTGTGCAAAGTGAATATGAAACACTCCCATTTTAATCATCAAAACAGTGAAAATGCCAAATGTGTTGCACAAATGCTTTTCCTTCCTCTAAACAAACAAACAAAAAAATTACAAAATAATTTAGTAAAATATACAAAAAAACTACTCTTGGCAATATATCGATACAGCAGTCCCTGATATCGATACTGTATCATCGCATTAAATGATACGACATATCGATATTTTGATATTTTTACACACCCCTAATAGGAAGTGCATGTGTACGGTTATTTTGCTTGTTCATAGTTTTCCAAAAGTTGCCACAACGATAGGTCTGTTTATTACTTGAACGTTACTGTGAATTGTAATTTTAATTTGCATCACATTAACCTCATAGTTGGTCAGAAAAAAGGTAAACATCCAATTATATTCAATACCACTGATCTAGCGAATGCTCTTTCAGGCCATTGCACTTCATTGTGGCCTAATGATTTCATAGATAATGCTAATGAAAGACTAGTAGGTGAAATGGGAATGTGCCTATGTTCAATCAGCCTTATGTTCCCTCATTTCTAAAGTTTTTTTTTTTTTTTTTTTCCAAAAATTAGGCCCTATGTTCCCACATTTCCTTTATCATCCCCAATGATATATGTCTCCCAATTTGATAGTCAGTTACACCCAGCCTATTCTCCAGCAGCAGTTGACTACAAATGTAATCTAGAGGTCATGGTGCAAAGGATCCTAGGTTGAAATGATGCTGAATCATCTCTTAAAATGTGGTATAAAAATAAAAATGATTTGAATTAGAGTTTCATATTGAGAAAAAAAATAAGAAAAGTGTTAGAAATGAGAGAACACAGGGCTGTGGCAAAATAGGGCTGACCCCAGTGGATTATCATGGAGACTTGTGACTGCCCAGTGACCAGACCAGTGTAAAGTGTTGGTCTCTGTGTAAAGGCCTGATGTGTTTTTGGATCTATCCCAAGACAGCTGTGAATACCTTTGTTCAACATCTGCAACCAGTTCCCACAATAACAAGTTTGAAGACAACAGCCAAATACATGTAGTGGCACTGGCCCCAAAATATACACTTTGGACTGAGTTTTGTGATTAGCTAAAAGAGTTTATTTGAATTGGAGGAACAGCGGTATTTTGAGTATTGCTTAAATGAGTACAGGGAATGACTATCTTGTAAACACGTCTCATATCTTTGTGTATGTGTTTGCAATTATCATCATAGAAGTTTAAGTGTTGTGTGTTCTGAGTGTTTGCTTACATATACACTACCAGTCAAACGTTTGGACACACCATCTCAATCAGTGTATTTTTCCTTTATGTTTAATAGTTTCCAGATATTATACACATAGAGAAGACAACAAATATATGAAGTAAAATATACAGAATATAGTATATATATTTTTTAGATTTTATATTCAAATGCTCAACGTAGCCACCCTTTGCTTTGTTGACAGTGTTGCAAACCCTTGAAATTCTTGATGATGTCTCCTTAAATGGTTTTCACTTGACAGCTGTGACTTGTCAGGGTCACGAAATGCCAAAAATACAAACCAGGGTTCAAAGTAAATGTAAAACACATTCCACATGTGTCCTTTCATAGTTTTCTACAGTCTAAATAATCATGGAAATAATCATGGAAACAAAGAAGAAAAATAAATGGAAAACTGTGCCCAAACTTTTGACTGGTATATGTTGTTTATTTTTGTTTTAAGCATTTGCTAAAAGGTGTTATTATACTACAACCAACTACACAAACAGATGATTACATATCAAAGACATTGTAAAGATAAATTGAATCATAATAACATTAAATTGTGATCTACGCTCACCCACCCCTACAATACACATGGTTTTGTAAATGTAAAATGACTATAATTAAAGTTCATTGAGGCAGAATTGCATAATTTTTGTTCCTATCACAATTTATTTTAGTCATTGACATAAGACTTCATGTATAATTGCCTCTGAAATTCCAAACTCCTGCAATAATAGAAAAGTATACAGTATAATATTGTTTCCATCTTGTCACTATCAAACATATAAGCTTAGAGAGCCCCATGTGAGAGTCCACATAAAACAAGACCAAGAAGAGTGGCCATGTTGGAAAACTGGCAGTGATTTTGGCCAGCGTATAGGCCTATATAGGGCCAGTAAAAATCCTGGTGAGATTGCTTTTTTTTCTTAAAACCGTTGCTGTGGCCAAACTTTTAACTGCATGCCTCTCTATGGGATTATGTCACTCATGTGTGGGTGGCTTGGACTGAGTAGGTTTTGAAATCATGTCACTGCACTTTCTTCTCAACCACACACCATGGCTCCTCTATGTTTCTAAATTCTAATTTTTCTAATAACACCATGTTGACATTTACAAGAAGTCCACAGCAGGGTGTTGTAAAGGTAATGTCCATAAAGTCTGACACACTTCCAATGTTTTTGTCTCATAAGGACACACACACAGCAGGGACCTGGACAGAAAGAGAGATGGAAAGAGAGGGAGAGAGGGGGGGTAGCAGCAATGCAGCTCCGAAGACTGGAATTTCTTACAGCATAGAGCGATACGACAAAAGAAGGCCATGCTGATTTCCATGATTTCCAAGTCTCAAAATTTCCACAAAAATGGATGGTCAGGTTAAAGAGCATTTACATCCAGGAAAGCCCATTGACTTACCAAAAAACAACTGTCAAAAACCCTTACTGCATATTTAAACATATTTTTTGTGAAATGTGCTTTGTCATAGACTGTATAAAGAAGAAATGAAGCTATCAAGGCTGCTAGTTATAGGAGCAAATTTGGAGCAGAGTTTGATCTTAGGAATAGGAACTTGGCCATCAAAATAAAAACACCAGGCTCAAGTAAAGTGGTTTAATACGAACATTTTCAGATCAAAATGACAAGTCTGACAGCAGCAGTTATAGAGAGAGGGGCATTTATCAACATAGAGTCAATTGGAATCAGTGGAGCTGGCAGTGCCCTGATGCTCACTTCCCATTCTGTATATATAAATATCGGTAGCGATATTTATATGTACAGTCTATGCACAGTGTCATTTTTGTTATAGCATGTTCACTAGGTATTTGTTTTCATGGAGATGTGGAGTTATTGCTTTGTCTGAAAACACATCCATATCAAATATGTACTATTACAGGTGTTTAGTTACTTAAAATATCTTGAAAATCATACATTCATGCTGTGAGTTGGGTCGTCTTTCTACAGATTTGAGCTGTAACTTGGTCAGATTGTCATGCCACCTGCTTTTCTACATGGAGATAAAGAAGTTTAAAGCCTTACTGTCGAACTATCCAGGCAAAGTAAATTTGTGAAGATACGCTGGTAGCCGATCTTCCATTACAATAGTTTGATATAGCTCCTTTAAGACTATGTGCAGAAAAGTCCAAATAGGCAGGTCTTAGAAGCAGATCTGCTGTCCAGTGATCTGAATTAAAGGCAGGAAACTATGAGCTCATAATGATTTCAAATACCGGCTCAAGTTGCATAACATTATCAAAACTTTACCAGCAGACTTCTTTCACCAACATCAGGTAGCTATTACATTTAGAGTCTATACCACAGTCAAATCACAAAAATGCATAGCTAATCTAGATTACACAACAGATCTCAGGCTATAGCCAGCACATTTCTTGAACCATGCACTATATGTATGTCATAGTTATTGTAAGGCTCGAGGACCTCATTAAGAACAGTGTACTGCCTTTCAACACCCATGAAGAACTCCATATAGTTTGTAAGGGTATTACAGTTTGTTTACCATATCCAATTACTCTACCCATTTCTGAAAATGAAAAACATGTGACTGGACTACACAGAATAGTGATTTCAAACTTTTACGAAACAGCTCACATCAAGCACTATATTTAAACACAATTAAACCGTAACTAAGGTAAACAAGAACTGATCACAGAATAAAACTGTACTGAACTCGAGGCTACACCAGCACAAAATCAGGTCTAAACCATGGGCAAAGCCAGTTTTACCAACTCTAATCAAGACTTGCTTAAAACTGGCTTCAATTCAGAATGCTAATCTGAATTTGAGTAATTTGGAAGTTTGGATTTAAACATAATTTATTAAAACAAATCAGAAACATACTGTAACAAATGCAAGAATCTAGGTCAAACAAGTAAACAAAATCTGACCCATGCAGCCAAAACTACATAAAGTGAGATAATTGTCATGAATTCAAGTAATTTGAACTCATTTAGATAATATTTTTTTTACAGTGCAGTGATGAAATAGGTGGTAAACCAAGGCTGAACAAAGATTTAACCAGGAGTCTCTAACCTTTTTCCTCCAATGAGCTCCTTTACAAAATGAAAATGCCAAAGAGAAATGGAGAAAGTTTACGAGCCATGGCGAGCCTTAGACAGGGTATAGTTAGATGCTTATAACACATAAACCATTATCCATTTATTAGTGCACAAGTTAGGCATCAGAATGATATATTTACAGTGGTAATTAATCAGACTTTAGTTATTAAGCACAATAGGTTCATCAATTCAGAAATCTGTTGCTGGTACAGGCTACTGGAGCTCCCAAGCTACAGGTTGGAGATCACTGGATTAAAGCATGACTAAAATGCTACTAAAATTCTACAAAAGAAACTATAGCAAAACAACATATCAGCAGTCATTCCTCTACTACAGTGTTATTATTGTATAGGACTGCACAGTACCTGCCAGGCAGAGGCCCAGGATGGTAAGAAGGACCAGGATGTACAGGGAGACAATGGCGTATTTAATGGCTGCCAGAGAGTTGGGGTGTCCACAGCACTGATCCTGCTTCCTGCGGCGTGTACCGGCACCTGGACAAGACAAGATTTATTAAGATTAACGGGAATCGTTGTCATCACAGAATGTATGGCTCTTCGCTGTGTGGCTGGTGCCTGAACTCGCACTTCCAGGGTTTTTGCAAACTGTCTAGTGTATTCTGACTCCTGACCTAGTTGCTGGACAGAAATTAAACTGAACGGAGGCACTAGGTGGCACCAGCCTGGCTACAACTCACCTCCTTTACCGCACTTTATCTTTGAAATTACTGCAAATTGGTAGCTAATATTATACAAGAGAAGGCTATTCTGTACCTCTATCTACAATTATCTAAAATCATAATAGTAACTGGATTGTGGCATATGCATTCAACTCAATTACAGCTGAAATATGAATATCAGTTTTCAGATTGGCTTTATTGCACCCATAGGTGGATAGGAAAATGCACTGATCATTACAGACTTGCTGTGCTGTGCCCAGAGATCATTTCATAAATGTTAAGCTATAATTGTTTTCTGGTAACTTCAGTATTCTGTAGAGTCTTGCCTCTCCTAAAATGTCCTAAAATGTACTTGTGGTCATAATGACATTTAGCTTTTCTGTGTACAGTTCAAACCTAAGTGACATTTTCTGTTCAGTCTCAAAACCACATGCTTTCACTTGTACCGTGACCATCGGATCTGTATATCTGTATGATGGGGAATGCTCACTCATGCACAGCCCAACACAAACACAGCTGGATCCTATGCACTAAAGTATGTGTCACATGGTAGGAATGTACAGGAACCAAAACGGCACCTGAACATTGGTCCCCTCTCTTAGTTTCCCCTATAAGGCATAACACACACTGTAAGTACACACAGCTGATAGTGGCGTGAAGAACAGATTAACACCTTATTCTCACCTTGAGGTACTTTTAATTTTGTCAACAGCATATAAAACAGTGTATACATGTAATGGAAAAGTCTGACATTTTGAGGAAATAGTTAATTTTCTGCACTGTAACCTTTACAGGTCTCAAGTGACTCAGCTGGCCCAATTTGTGCCCAGAGTCTGGTGTTTTTCATAACACACTCCACCTAAATGTATATACATAAGTGTTAGTGTAAGTAAATGAGATGTTTTATAGGGTTAGCAGCGCCAGTGTACTTCAGACTATACATCTCAATGTAGTAGTCTCATTTGACAGAGGACAGAGCAATTTAAAGGTGTACTGTATAAGTGTTTGGCTGGGTGTCCATCACCTTCTTGTTTCTATGGATATGCTGCCTGGAATGTCCCACAGTATGACATTAAACAGCTCTACCTTGCATTTATTCAGTTACAAATGGATTTATTGCTCAAAAAATATCGAAAAACAAGTATTCTGACAGTGAGTAGGGTTGCCTCTCTACAGATCTGACCCGTAACTTGGTCTGGTTTGATTTTTTATTAGTAGTAGTAGTAAGTAGTAAGAAGTGATAGGTAATAGTAATAGTAGTAGTAGTGGTAGTGATTAGCAGTAAGGAGTAGTAAGGAGTAGTAGAAGTAGTGATAGTAGTCGCAGCAGTAATAGTAGTGAGTAGTACCAGTAAATAGTAGGGATGTAACAATATCCAAATCTCTCGGTACGATATTATCTCAATATGCATGTATGTATCTCACGATACGATATTTAATGCAATATTTTAAAGAGGCTAATCGAATTGTAGACAGGACAATTTTTTTGCTTTTAAAATACCTTGACCAGATTTTGGGTTGAATTATTTCTGTCATAATCCCAAGAATTCAAGTAAAAGCATATCTCTTCATGTTGTCTGCACTGAAATGAATTATGGGATACGTAGTTCCCTATGTTTATAAGCTGTTGCTACTACAAAACTATGCATTTAAGCAAAGGAACATATATTGTGACAGACCATGATATCATTGTGAGACTTTTGAAGATACAGTATTATGATATTTTGGTTACTGTTACATCCCTAGTAAATAGTAAGTAGTAAGTAGTAGACAACTATACTTCATACTCTCCTGTATTTGCCTCATACTGTACTCCCCTATACCTGCTCCAGTTTTAGTGAAACCAACCAGAGAAAGTGAACTTAAAATAAACATATTCTGATTAAATGTGACGTGTTTGTTGTTACAGTAAAGGTTTCCTCAAACTGACATTTCCAGCCCAAATCTTCCATACATTCATCCATCATACCACTGTAAACATATACGATTACATTACAGACCAGCTGCTCCTGTCCACTGTCAGTAAAGAGACACTCTATAGACCCACTATTGTGAATGTGAAACAAATATGGAAACAGGAATACTAATTAAGACTTAAGTCATCTAATCATGTTTCCTTCACAACTACAGGCTGAGTAATGGACTGGCAACACTTGTGTTTATGAACAATTTATGTGAATTTACAGTGTAGAGAAGTGTTTGTCAAATTTTATCTTTGAACTTTGAATGGGCATTGAGCATTCTACATACATATTCAGTGTAGTTGTGTTATTGGCAGGAGTAATGTAGGTCTATTTAGAAAAAGCTAAGTAAAAAACTAAAGATTTATGAGACTTGTATGTTCCATATGTTGTATTCAGTTCATAAATTAAATCAGAAGGGACTTTCCGTAACTAGATGCTGCTGGATTGTTTTAAACTTGAAAGTTCTGATGAAAATCCATATTTGTAAGCCAATATTTAATTAAATACATTTGATCATGTTTCCAGTTATGTGAAAGAACTGCTATTTGCAAGCACGTACTTTATAAATTCTATCCATGGGTTTCAGAGAGATGAAACACAGTTACCATGATGAAAAATTTCAAAAAGACAAGCTGAAATATATGAATAGTGTTTCATAGTCACCAAATCTGTTCATATATTCTACCAGGATAGTTTGAATTTTATAATTACAAAACCAAAATCTACAAAACGTCAACAAAAATTCCCTCACTTTCAGCTGTGAGAAGCATTTTGGATTCTACTTGTATTTTTGTAAATCTAGAAGATTCTACTGGGTAAGTCTTTAGTCCACCGTGCATCATATCCATCATGTGTGCAGTCTTTCCCAGTGAGCTCTCCTCATGACTGTGTAACCGGACCTGTCCAGAGGGTCAGCTGTGGTTTGGCTAGAGCCACACCTACACACACACACAGACACACAGACACTCACACACACACACAAATGCACACAGACACACAGAGACAGCAGGGGCCTTAGCGATGGCTGTCATGTACCTGTATTTATGGTATTATTGTAGAGATGTGTAGGTATTGAAAAAAAAAAAGTAATAAATGTTATGGTAAATGTTTGTGTAAAATCAAGTCAATTATCAATATTATGTCAGGTGAAAAGAATGAGGGAAGCCTGTTTACAAAAGGATGTGTAGTTATATTTTAAGTAAATATTTGGCAAAATATGCAACCAGGGACCGCCATATGGGTTTAGCATTCCAAGAACAGAACTGTAAATAATATTTGTACATACTGTGAATCAGTGGTTAGATATAAGGAAGCAGGAGAGGTGGGATAATGTGACTGGTATAACCAATCCACTCCACTTTATTTATATGGCACATTTCATAAACAAAACAGTTTCCAAAGTGCTGCACAAAACAAATAAAACACATCCAATAGAAATATAAAATAAAGCTCTACTAGAGTCAACTAGTCCTGGTTAAGACAATAAAACTAGTAAAATCAAATAACAGCAAGAATACCGATAAATAATAAAAAGGTAAAAACCATAAACATAAGTGTAAAATAAAAGACAGAGCATGACACAACTTGCGCTGTGTTAAAAGCCAGAGAATAATGGGTCTTAAGACGAGACTTAAAACACTCTGCTGTGGGGGCTGTTTGGATGTGGGGGGAGCAGATCGTTCCAGAGTTGGGGCTGGACCATAGACCGTATATGTGAGTGGACATAGCTAATGTGCTAGTCGCCGCGTGCCAAATAGGAAGTTCGCCAGGAGGCTCTTCCAGCTCCTCTGACCCTGGCCTCGCCCCTCTCTCTGTAACTACTGCAGTGAGCCTCATCATTTTGGTCTTAAATTGTTCGTATTAACCTGCTCTACATGATCATGAATTATTTTTTCACTATTTTGTCAGTGAAAAAAATCATATTTATGACATAGTGCCTGGCTCCAGATTCACTCCTGTCACCGTTAGCATCATGAGCCTCATTTAAGTGGCACTGAACGCTATGGGTGACATCACACTTCCTTAGCCCACTTCTTTTATACAGTCTATGGGCCGGCCACAGAGAAGGTCCTGTCTCTTAAGTCTCATCTTAGGCACCACAACCTGGAGCTGAACCTTGGACCTAACAGTTCAGACTAGTCTTGTGTGATGTTACCAACTACTGGCCACTGATGACAGGACACACTGAGGACAACATAGCTACAAATTTATGTAGTTTGCACTAAGGTTGCCAAAAAATGACTATGAGGCTGGCATGTTCCATATGTTGTCTTTCTGCATACTTTTTAAAGGCAATAAATAGTGTTGTTATGATAAACTGTTACCCATTTATTACTTATCAAAGGTGCAGTATTTTCCAGAACAGATGTTGTTAAAAGTTCAGTTTTCAGTGTCAACACATATCATCCGTTTAAGTGAATGCTAATAGACTTGAAACGCTCTGCTGTATTTACCTTCGTCACACAGGTTGAGTTTGGACAGATTGTGCCCGTCGTAGGCCTCTTCGTACATGGACCCATTCTCCCTCTCTTCATATGTGCTCAAATACATGGCCTTGTTTTCCATCTCCTCCTGTTTGATCAGAAAACACAGCATCATATTAAATCAACAATTCAGCTCTGGGTATGTGGAGAATGTGTATCATGTATATCACTTAGCGCCACAGCGAAGAGGGACCACACACTGTACAAACAGACAGCTCTAATCCTCTGGTGATGAGGACGTAATCGAAACTATAATCTTCAAACACACTGGCAACTTGTGTCCAGCCATGACCAGACCACCACTCACACTGATAAATATACAAAGGGTGTGCAGTGAAGTGGGTCCAAGGACAATAACAGCAGGAAGCTCTGGGTATGAGGAGACAGTGGACTTCACACCACAAAAAGGATTGAGTTTAGACATGAGAAAAAAATGACACTCAGATATGGAGAACCACCCAGTTTATGGAAGCAGACATGGATATAGAGATCTCAGGAACATTTTTGTAGATTATAAAGAGTTCATAAGAGCAAAGTACTACTACTACTACTTCCTGACTACATGCCAGCTGTGATTTGAACATTGGTTAAAGGACCTATATTGCGCTATTTTCTGATCTATGTTATAATGTTGTTTCCTCATCAAAAGCATACCTGGAGTCGTGTTTTGTTTCATTCACACATGTTTAACACTAGGGGTGTGCAAAAATATCAAAATATCAATATATTGTATCATTTAATGTGATGATACAGTATCGATATCGGGGAATGGTGTATTGATATGTCGCCAAGTATTTTTTGGTATATTTTACTCAATTATTTTGTTACAGCACTACAGTTTTATTGCTTGTTTAGTGGAAGGAAACTTGTTTATGCAACACACTGACATTTTCACTGCTTTGAGGATTAAAAATGGGTGTGTTTCATATGAACTTTGCAGAAGAAGTGGTTTAACAAAGACTTTTAGTATCACAGCCATGATTTTGCCTTTATTTTTTTACTGAAAAGTATTAAATTGATTTGGAATATATCGAATCAAAAGTGCACTGTATCGAGATATGTATCATATTGTGGCCTGTGTATCGAGGTATGTATCGTATCGGCAACTTCTTAATGATACCCAGCCCTATTTAACACACTTATTGCATATTTACACGGAGTTCTTCTCTTAAACAGAAAACACTCTGTTCCACTTTTTAAGATCATGTAGTGATACATACTAGGGATGTAACAATAACTGAAATATCATGATATTATGTCGTCAAAAGTCTCTCAGTAGTATCGTGGGGCCATCTCAATATATCAAATTATTAGTTTCTTTGCTTAAATGATTAATTATGGTGAAGCAATAGCTAAAAAGCACAGGGAACCATAATCCTTTGCTCTGTTTCAGTCCAGACTTCATGAAGAAATAACTGTTATAAGCACTTTTAAATGTTAGTGATTTGGATTATGACAGAACCAAGGGCATTTTAAAAGGAAAAGGTATAATTCGCAGTTTAGTCTCCACAAAATATCACCGTGAGGTACAATATCGTAAAATATTGTACAGAGAGATTTGGATATCATTCCATCCTTAATACACACACCTTCACTAGAATCATATGGATGATTTTAGTCCTGGAATTTCAAATCTCTACTAAAACAAGGTAAAAGATAGCTGTTAACTTGAAAACTACTGCTTCATGACATCAAAAGGTGAAATACAGTATTTTGAACTTTAGAGATTGAGGTTGACAGACTGATAATAGAGAGTTACTCAAACATGGTTGAATGAAACAAAACAAAACTCCAGGTATGTTCTTGATTAGGTAACAACATTATAGAGTCAGTTTTGCAAAATACAGGACCTAAAAATGGAATAATATAAGTAAAACCATATTGAACCCAGGTAATTTTAGTCTATTAAAATGAGACAATGAGATGAGAGATTGTTTTATTATCTCTTATTGACTCTATTAGTAAGACAGTGTATGTGATAAATGACCGTTATATCAGCTACAGGCCCAGTCTAGTAGTAAAATAAGTCACTTGAGACAGTCCACTCTCACATGGAGTGCGGGAGTTTTTAGCGTGGTCTCCTAGCAGCAGTAATACTTCTCTTCTGGCACTATCCTAAATGTCAGCTGACCTCTCTGTCCTCTGCGTAATGAGAAAGTCCAGATAAAGCACTATTTAACCACTTTGTCAAACACTCCCAGGTCTGCAGCACAGCATTCTGGGAGATTTTCTTCTAACAGTGGCCATATTTGCTGAGGCGTGGGAAACTGTGCTAAAACCTAAGGAGCAAATGTACTGTCTCTTGAGTAAACAATGCAGAGAGTGACCAATAGTTAGTTTGATATACACTGCAGGGACAGTCATTATTTTAGACTTAGATCATAGGGCTTTCATTGCTTTGCTTAGAATGTTCCACTGTCAATCTCCATAGCAACAATGTGACCTCACCTGGCAAAGTTACAGGTCAGATCTGTGACGAGGCAAGCTCGCTCAGAGTAAGAATCCATGTCATGCAAGGTATTTTATAGCCTGATTCACCAGCTGGTTTCACTTGGTGGAAATCGTCTGACCTTGCAGTGTTAGAATTCATTCGCTCAACGGTAGCTGGGTACTTTTTTTCATTTAACCAGTCGCTGCTATTATTAAGCTTTTCCCAAATCCCGTAGGAAGAAGGGCAATAATGTCTTTCCCCTTGATAAAATTCACCAAACATTCTCTTTGTTCCGGCTTTAAATCCTCAATCTTGGGAATCATTGCCAACATACAATGTATGGCTCTTCACTGACTGGCTGGTGCCTGAACTCGCACTTCTGGGGTTTTTGTGAACCGTCTAGACTCTAGTGTATTCCGATTCCTGACCTAGTCGCTGGAGAGAAATGAAATTGAGAGGAGGCACTAGGTGGCGCCAGCCTGGCTATGTATTTTAAGCAATAAAAACAGTAATAAAAAGGCTACAGTAAATGCAGGATAGATGTTTAATGCCATACTATGGAACATTCAGCTCAAAACAAGAACATCTCCATGGAGACAAGCAGAAAAGTTACATATTGCAACAAAATGTCATGCTTTTTGTATATTATTGTGCATTTTGGAGCTGTTTATAACCTGAATTATTCCAATGTAAGGTCTGATATTGTTGTAAAAAGGTGGGTAAAGCATTGTATATGTATATCCTGGAGTCAACTCTTAGCCCATCCATGTGGTATTCACAATAATTCAATATAAAGCTATAGATAATCTGGCAGATGACGTGGTTCTCTGCACCTGCTCCCTCCTGAGAGACTTTTGTAAAATTTATGAGACAGAGGATTCACTTAGAGGGATTTGGGCAAGAGCCAGAACTACATCTGCCATTATAATCCTCCACACCACACTAAACTATTTATTTGAGATGAAATTTTGAATACTTTACTTGTCTAAACTAATGAAATCCAACCCATAAATCCAATCAGAGCATTACATGGTTGCACTTTTACAAATGAATCCCTATGAGATTTCCCATTTCTCAAAGCTGCACCTGAAACTGAAATCAGGGATATTTTGCCAGAGCCATGCAGAAATTCTGAATAGTAGAATAGCGATTTTTTTCTGTGTGTAATGATTGAAAAAGCATGGTTCAGATGTCTCTTTAGCTTTACTTTGACATAGACCTTGTGCTATATTCACACACATTGTTCCAGGATGACATATGGGAGTGTGGGAAAGCTTTTTTCCACACATTCCTTAAATGCATCAGTGTGCGTGGTGAATACAGAAGCAAGACAACCTACTGTATATATCCATATTTATGGTTATCTGATGATTATACTATGTTTTTTCTGTTTATACTCCTGCAAAATATTTCAAAGTAATAAAGATTTTTTCCAAAAATTTAAAGGTGCATTGAGTCTATTTTATGGTGGAGGGTCTTTCAAATGCTTTTCTCCATGGAGATGTTGTTTCTTTGGCTGGAATGTTCCATAGTATGACAGTAAACTTTTCTAACTTCATGGAGATTAAACCTAGCCAGACTGGCGCCACCTAGTGCCTCTGCTCAATTTCATTTCTCTCCAGTGACTAAGTCAGGAATTGGAATACTCTAGAAGCTTTGCAAGAACCCCAGAAGTTGTAGACCGTGCACCGGCCAATCCGCAAAAAGCTGTGAAGTCATGATATCAAACTCAAGCGTCTGTCTGGGTTCCTTTTGTGGTACAGCACAACAGTAAACAAAGCAGAGGAGATGGATTGCCCTTCTTCATATGCAATTTGGAAAAAGCTTAATATACCAGTTAGCCCTGTTAGCATTACATACGTTACGACCAAATAGCAGCAATTGGTTAAATGAAAAAGTACTCGCCTACCGTCGAGCAAACAAATCCTAATGCTGTGAGGTCAGACAGTTTCCACAAAGACTAGAACAAAGGCTAGATCAAACCAGACCAAGTTACAGATCTATGGAGAGGTTACCCTACTCACAGTCAGAATGCTTGTTTTTCTCTTAGTTTTTTTTTTTTTGAGCTATAAAACCACCTGTAATTGAATAAAGGTAAGGCAGAGCTGTTTGATGTCATACTGTGAAACATATGACATATAGAAACAAGCAGGTGATGGATCCCCAGCTAAAAAGTTACATACTGCACCTTTAAGGTACATTGTTTAACTTTTCAAGAATGCATGTTTTTCAAAAATGTTTTGAAACACCCATAGGGAAATATGTGCTATAGGTAAGTTATACTGCAGCAAATTCCAAGCAAAACTGAAACATCTCTATGGAGGCAAGTGCATGGTCCCTGCCAGAAAAGCTGCACAGTGCACCATTAACTCTAAAACCTACTAGCTTTTTGGGGGGCATCTGGGGAGACTAACCAGACCTTGATGTGCTAGATTAAACACAAGAGTTAGAGAACAAAATCAGATAAAACACATCTGTGGAATTTTCATCTTTTATCTTCAGTGTCCAACCTGTTACAGTTTAGGAAATCATCACCATCATCTGCTCCACTCTCTTCTCTGTCCATCTCAGTGTATTGAGTTTCATAGCAGAAAGTGAATGCCTTTATCAGCTGTTTATCAAAGCTGTGGACTTCCTTTGGCCTTACGCTGGTTCTCCACAGATCTAAACCTCATGGGGATGGGGATTTTCACACGTTTATACACTTCACACTACAGGATTTGCTACTTACGGCTTTATCCAGACCACTCAAGTACAAAAAGGGATCTGACACGCTGATTTCCTTGAGACCACCGCAATAACAACATTTCAAATCCTCTCGCTCTATTTGATTTTAATACTAATTTGACAATGCTTTATGTTAGATGCCTTTCCACAGCACCATATTGTCCCATCTATTTAGATTCTTACCATAGGTCAGACAGCAGCAATCAGAGTAATTATCATGTGGTGTATATCAAAGTTAATATTATTTGTGTTTTGGGGGTTACGTACAATTCCAAAAGACACCACAAATTAAAGGTCCTGTATTAAGCAAAATTGATTCTTGTGAGCTTGTAGCCACATTGGAATGTTTTTACCTCCTCAAAAACACACCTGGAGTTGTGTTTTGTTTCATTCCCACATGTTTAAGTAATCCTGCATTATTAGTCTGCAGAGGTGGGGACATGCAAGTTGTGACTTGGACTCGAGTCAGACTTGAGTTACTATTTTTAGGACTTGACTTGATAAAATGGACTAAGACTTGGAACTCAACTTAAACTTGAAGGTCAATGACTTGGGACTTGACTCGGACTTGAGGCCTGTGACTTGAGAAGACTTGAGAAGCACTTTTAAATCTCTTTCTGTTCTGACTGTAATGGTTCACACTAAGATCTTAAGACATTTAAAAAGGAAAAAATAACATTTCTACAACTCTCTATACTGTATAAATACTCATATATAAATATACTATGACTTTTTAAGTACAATTTATCTGGAAATTCATATAAATTGCAAAAATATAAGATATATTTGGTACTTTGGTTTAAAGGCTTGAAATGACTTGAAGCTCAAAGCAGACGACTTGGACTTGGACTTATGGGCCAGTGACTCGAGACTCAACTTGGACTTGCCTGTATTTGACTTGGGACTTGACCCGGACTTGAGGTCAAAGACTTCACCACCTCTGTTGCAGGGTTTATTAAACATGTGTGAATGAAACAAAACTCCAGGTATGTTTTTGATGAGGAAACAACATTATAACATAGATCAGAAAATAGTGTAATATTGGTTATTTAAATAAAATCTAATTAGGGTGCTACTAATTAATCATATTGTAACTCTGAGAGATTCAGTCATTTTTAATCTCCAGTGATCATCTTGGGGCTGATTTATCGAAGTCTACAGCCAAGCTTCAGTCAGTAAAAGTATGTGGTCTGGAACAGTGTTTATGGCAATGATGAAGTCTATATCATTTGTGTTCAGGAAATTAATATGGAAAGCTATTTTTATTAGTTTTTAATTAGATAATTTTAATATATTTTTTGTCATATCCCCAAGCAGGGTTTATAAGATTTATCTTCTTCCTGTTCCTTTTGTTCATGCAGCAAAAACAAGGCAAATAATAGTTGGAATATGTATTTATGTTAAATGTCCAACTTTTTGTTGTTGTTCTCTTTAGGTTGATGCCAACAAAATAACAGCATGAGCAATAAAAAAATGTAAAAATTTAAATAAGCTTTCATTGTATCTTTGTAACATAACATACACACATAGCTGACTTGAACCCTTTTCTCAAGAGGTTCATACACACACTGCAATACTGTTCAAGGTGGACTTCCCATACACAATCTCAATGACAGACAGAGCTTCCTTGGGAGAAAGCGAGAGAGGAAGTAATTATCTTGTCATGGTTTGTCGCATTGCCAGATTGGGCCCTCGTTCCACCATGCGATTGTCTGCAGGTCACAGAGGAGCCAACACGGGTGGTCTGTCTGCTGCCCCCTGTACAAGGCTGTGTTAACCAGAGAGTCCCACTGCAACATGGTCAACGTAATTCAGGGACAAATCATGCAGGCTTCTACACCGTCTAACTAGTCTCCAATATATACAACCTGGCAGTTTCCTCAAACTCAAATAGTCAAGTCTTATTTGGATAGCCTTTTTATCATATCAGAAACAACCTCTGATATCACATAAACTCAAATTATTTACCTTTATTATTAGTTAGTTCTAATTCTACAAGAACGTCTTAGCCATACAGGTATCGTTCATACAAATTCATACACTAGTGGGCCTATTTATCAACATCAAGGGCTGTCTTGCTCAAGGACAAAACAACAGATCAATAGCAGTGGTGAGAGCAGAGATTTAACCACCAACATTTAGGTTACAAATGCTGTGCCAAGATCAGCTCAGATCAAAAACTAGGGCTGGGTATCATTAAGGAGTTGCCGATATGATACATACCTCGATACACAGGCCACGATATGATATATATCTCGATACAGTGCTCTTTCAATTCGATATGATATATTTAAAATCGATTCGATACGGTTCAATAAAAAATAAAGGCTAAATTGTGGCTCTGATACTAAAAGCCTTTGTTAAATCACTTCTTGTGAAAAGTTCATATGAAACACAAACATTTTAATCCTCAAAACAGTAAAAATGTCAAATGTGTCGCATAAATGAGTTTCCTTTCACTCCACAAGCAACAAAAATGTAGCACTGTAACATAATAATTTAGTAAAACACACCTAAAAATACTCTTGACGATAAATCGATACGGCAGCCCACGATATCGATACCGTATCATCACATTAAACGATACAATATATCGATATTCCGATATTTTTGCACACCCCTATCAAAAACTGAGTGAAAATTACTAACACTGGACATATTTAGTAATTACACATTACTCCATTCTCTTAATTTAAACAAGCACGATGTAACTGTTTGGCAGAAAACTTGACACTTCTTGTTTCAATGGAGATGTTATTACCTTGCCTGGAATATTCCACAGTATGGCAATAACACATCTTTCATGTATTCAGTTGTTGCTAGTGCTCCAATACCCCAAGAAAACAAAAACAAAAAGCAAACAAAAAAAAACAAAAAAAAAAAACACCTTTAAACTGGGAGCGAGGGTACCTTTCCACAGACCTGACCTGTAACTTGGCCTGGTGAACCATCTGATTTTTTCTGTGGATCTCATATTGTGGAACATTCCAGGCAAAGCAATAGCATCTCCTCTCCATCGAGATAAGCAGGTGGGATATCAGACAACTGGAAGTGGAATATTATCATTGAAAACAGATGAGAAAAATGAGAAAAATGTGAAAATCTGAAATCGCTTGGAGATGAATGGTGGAGGATCTCATTTTATAGACGCGTTTGAACGTACCCCACTCCATTCACCCATGAGCTACATTAACCCATTTCTCTGCTTATTAAAGGCAGGGCAACTTCACACATGAGCGCACAAAAACAAAGCCACACGATACACACATATCTGCTCCTGTCATCCACAAGTTTCCTGTCAGAGAGATTACAGCAATATGCTTCTTATAGGCCGACTGTTAATGCCTTTGTTGTTATCTGATTATGAGACCACACATGTCACAACAAACTGTCTGGTTCTGTCCAGCAGAACACTGGTATTTTTCACAGAGCGCAGGCAGAGCTCAGAGACTGTATGGGGTCTGTTGGATGAGGCAGTCTTTGTGATGAGGGTCAGAGAGGTCTCCAGGTTTAATCGAGCACAAGCGGGGGTCAAACAGGGCAGACAGTCCAGAGGAATGTTGATTAATTTGGCTTTCTAATTATTCATTTATTTATTTATTTTTGTTTGCATACATTTGTCCCATTGTTTAAAAGCCAATACAGATCATTCCAGGTCATCATGGAGCTCATGGACTTTTTATGCTAGATCTTGCTATCATTGTTATGATATAATACAATTTCTAACAGTTCATAGTAGGCCCCAAGTGAGCAGGACAATTAAACTGGTGAAGTGAAGTGTTATTATTTGGATCACTGAAGACATCATCCCACACAGTGCCATATAGTACCACCAAGCCAGAGATGAGCTTACAATCATGAGGAAGTGACAGAAATGTAATAACTCTGAATCACAAACTATTCTAAATAATCTAATATTTGCCAATGTCATATATAGTCTGTGGTTGATTTGGAGAAGAACATTTCAAGTTGTAAATTTATATAATCTTAGCTTTAAACATGCAAATGTGAAACAAAATAACAAAGCATGGATAAAAACATGGTTTCACCTTTTAAACAGGTTCTCACCGTGTCAGCTGTAGTGTGCTGTTAGCTCAGATGCCTATCACAGCTCCACGTTGGACATGTTTCTCACAGAAAGTTGCCTCTGTCGCCGGCTCCGCTCTTGTTCATGAAGTTTACATTCACACATGCACAGACCACCTCTGTGTTTGCAGCACTGACTGTGAACCATGCGTTGATGTGAGCCTTTTTATACCCACAACATCAGCGTCACGTGACCGTCTCCAGCTCCAGCTGAGACTCGCCCTGCCCCGGTCCTGTCTGTGCAGCACAACCTCCACCACCATGCCTCCAAGCCATGTGGAGAGGTTTGGACACATCTACGGCCCTATGATGTAAAGCTGTGCTCTCGCGCGGCCTACTGGTCACCATTGCAACGACAGACAAGGCATTTGTACATTAGCCTGCCTTGTACCAATCTGTGTCCTGTTCTATATTTGAGGAAAACATAATGAAGCTTATATTTATGAAGGCTTCATATCTTTTAAGCTTTATTGTAACCTAGGCAAATTTATTCTCTCCTTTGCTCATATATTTTTCTTCCATACAAATGTTTTTAGTTTGTTTTATTTTAAAAGCAATATAATATTTAATATACTATTAATTAAACGCCCCAAGAGCGGTTGGAATTTCTTACAGCACCTGAAGGCACCAAACTCGACTAAGGAAGTTGTTCTTGTTTGTGGGCGGGGCTTGTGTCAGGAATGTGCTCAACTCCTCTTCTCAGGTAAAGAACTTTTTATTAGATTACGTTACGCTTAAACTTGTACAAGGCATAACTGCTGGCATCTGTCACTTATTGTGTCTTTTGTAATAGTGCGGTTGTTTTAGGATTCTTCTTTAATACAGCATTTTACCTGGCCCAGTATGGACTGGTGTGGTACAGTATGTAAGGACTGCGTAGGGCGTTGACATAGAACCATGCCGTTACTTAACATCTCCTGCTTTAATCATTCTGTACAGCTAATATTATAAAAGTCACTGTATGGCTGTGTGGACAATGTTTCCTTTCATGAGGTTAAACCAGATTAAAGCAGACCTAATGCCCTGGTCCAAACTTCAAAAATAAGCCACCTTGCAATTATGAACGCGGCCACAAGATGGTGCTATATCCCTACTACAAAGCATAGCCTATAAACTTTTTACACTGCATCCCCTCCAAACAATGTCAGTGTCAGTAAGCATCATCACATCATAACACCCAATAGAAACCTTGTTTTTATTTGTTTAAATCAAATCATGACTTATTTCGCAGAATCATACACATAATTATAGCATCTAACATGAACTTGAACTGAACTAATCAAAACTAGTTAATAATTTGACAAGGTATCAGCACTTCTTTTATGAATAAATGTGACCTTATAATTAAATAAACATTTATTGTTCTGTATGAAACTAAAAGTTCACTGAATGCAGAACCTCAATGTAGCTTCTGGTCATTTAAAAGTGATGGGAAGCATCTTGACAAAATGGGTGGAGTATGTTGCTACCACAGGCTTTGGTAATTGTGCACTGGTTGTTGCAATTAACTTGTGTAAAAGCGGATCTGTCTGCTTTGTCTACCCGTTTGAGTTTTTTGAAGTATCTGAATTGACACAGATAGTATTCCATGTTTCTATTTCCACAGTTCTGGAGCCTGAGAATCAACTTGTCAGGCTAAACAAAGATTGCTGCCCACACAGTTCGACTCCTGCCCCGGAGCTCTATAAAGCAGCTGAACCACATATACTTTGTCTTACTTTTACTATGCTGTGAGACACTGGGCCAAGGTTTACAGCCATTTCACCGCTTTTACCGACGGCCGTAAAACTTCAGATTGAGCGAGACACGCAAAAATATAAATTCTATTACTTTTCTTACTGCATATGAGTTTTCTTTACAAGTCATGGGTCAGCTCGGTTCAGCCAATGCTCTCCACATATAGATTTATTTAGATGAGATAAAATTATTATTATATAAATGTAGGATTATTGATTTTACTCTACACACCAGCCTGTAACAATCTGTAATAACATATAATGGCTACAATCTTTTACTTGCTTACTAGTGTAGAATGAAATGCTAAATTAAATGTATTTGTAATGTAATTTAGTATTTTTATTATTTTTTAATTTAGATATTAAACTTGCTAATAGTAGTAGCAAGTTTAGACCTGTATGAACATGAAATTCATGGATTTTTTTGTATTACATATGTATATTTCATCAGATATGAATAGAATAGCCAAAAATATGACTTATGTAAGACAACTGTTTCTTCAAAATAATCAAACTCAAGCAGAAGTACAAAGTAGTGGTCCAGTAAATTACTCAAGTCATGATATTGAAATTTCAAACTCGATTTTGATACTAAGGAATACGCTTAATACTCAATACTGATTTCGATACCACAATGATAATTAAAAACACTCTTTCTTAGAATGCAATTTTCAACATTAAACCTACTTTCTTTTACATTACCATTATCTGTGATCTTATACTTATTTTGATACAGCTCAAGATTAAATGAGTATCTAGTTTTGATACTTATCTGATTATCTGATATCCGATTTTTGATACTGGTCCTGTCTGTATGTAGCTTCTGATTTATAAGTTAAAGTTAATATAAGGGGAAGAACAAAACATAAAGAATGCACAAAATCTGGTGTTTTTAAACGATAAGCTGCAAAATTTTAAGTTAAATCTGAACCATACCTGAAGGAGCAATGTAAGAAATACAAAAGTTAATGTCATTTTAATTGAAACATTGGTCACTTGTAGATTTACTCAAAGTGAGAAGAGTAATCAAGACTTTTCCTCAGAGCAAGAGTACTATTACTGTAAAATATATTATTCAAGTAGGAGTAAAGGTATTTTTACTTTTACAATGATCCCTCATACACAGAAAAATAGGCCTATTTCATAGTCAATGTGATGAGACCAGTGTTCTCACCACTCACCAACTTTACATCATGTGTTATTCCACCATCCACGGCAAGCAGCAGATATTGCCCGACTTTTTTATTAAATCAAGTTAGCAGTAGGTCAGCAATAAGCCATGCAGACAGCCATGGGATTTTCTTTGTGTTTTTGCCTCTAACTTCTCTCCTCGACAGAAAGGTCTCCATCGGTGTATGTCAATTACTCTATTGGGACCTTGTTACTGCCCCAGCCAATCAGAAGCCCCCCCTTAATTAACACAGGAAATTACATTCCTATATTTATAACCCAATAACTGGACTGGCCCGCTGAAAAGGTCACATCAACAGTTTAACGCCGCTCGCCCTATAGCGGCACCGCCCTGGAGGATGGAGGGAGAGGAGACTGGCCAAATCAACCTTTTTTATCCAACTTATTTTGACCTCTTTAAGTTTGCTGGTTGGACTCACCTTTCTAAGAGTTGAGGACTTATTTGGAAGCAGGAAATGTGTGTTAAACAATCATTACAATTGTCAAACTGTCAGAAAGGTTAATAATGTAGGTTGGCGCCCGGAGAAAGAAAGGCTGAGTTCTGTATAACTTTCTCTCAGTTACAATAGAAGCATTAACATCTGCACAAACAGATTTACTACTACTATATATCCTCAGTCATATCCTAGAATAAATATATAATGATTTTGGATCCTAGTTAATTAATTTGAGTCGCAGCATACATTATGTTATGAAATATAGAATGTTTTGTTGAACTGTAATTAATTGTATTTATTACAGTCAGCAAAATAAGATGATGATATGGGGTTATTTTCCATTAAAATATGCAATAATGAAACGTGATAAGAATAAAAAGCCCGCTGTGTGGGTAAATACATTTCTAAATAATGGATTTTAAAAGATTTTAAACAGGTGCTCAGTTGTAGAGGGGTGCTTATTTACATGAGAAAACTGCTCTGGGTGCACCTCGAGGAAGGCCATGCTGTACTGAAATGCACTGGAGTGTATTTTATGCCACTAGCCACAATGTCATAAAGGCTTTTTCTTTTTTTTTGAGAGAGAGAGATTTTTGTCTTTGGGAATAATGCTGCACATTTTTATCCAAAGACAAAGTTTTCTAATGTAGATGTTTTACACACTCGACTGTTTTCAAATTATAGCAGCACATTTTAGTAACCACAATGATCACTTACTAAAATGGTGACGTCCAACCATATATTCATCCCATAGCTATGTTTGACAAACTGTTGTATTGATGCTGGCATAATATTTTACAGTGTGTTGCTGAGAGTCTAGGAGAGATGGGTTTGTCCAAGTTGGTGTCCTCCTGGTCAGTGGAGGAGGTGCTGGAGTGGGTTCAGGAGCAGCATCCGACCCAAATGGTCACACTGCACAAGGCCATAATCAAGCACTCCATATCAGGTAAGGTCAAACATTTTACATCACAAAAACACATTCAAAGCTTGCCTGGAATCGATTAATTAAAGTTATTCTCCACTCCTTACTCATGTGCTGAAGTTCTAAGTCTCTCCTGTAATCATAACCATAATTATCATTCATATATTAGTTAAGTGGGTAAAGTTTATTGCTCAAGGGCTCAACAACAATATATTCAGTTAATTTCAGGTATATTTATATTGCACATTTTAAACAGCTTCAGCTGACCAAAGTGCTTTAATATCAATATTTAAGACAAAACAAGTGCAAATAACACCTACACAATGTTGTCGAAAGTTGAGTCGTTAACTCAATGACTCAACTTTCGACAGTTCATTATATAAACTTCTAGAAGAAATGTTCAAAATCTGATTCAAATTGGGTGGCAAGCTTAATACTCTTTCTCCTGGTGTATACTGCTGTTGTATACTTGTGTACATTGGTGTATACTGGTGTGTACTGGTGTGCACTGACGTATACTGGTGTGTATTTGCCGCAGGCCGTGCTCTGCTCAGGCTGAAGGAGCATCACTTGGAGGCGCTGGGAGTGGAGGCAGAGGAAGAGCAACAGGCCATTCTCCAGGACCTCCTCCTCCTCAAAGTCCACGAAGAAATCAATGAGCTCAGCCAAATCTGCTCTGGTGAGAAGAACACAGTATTACTGTCACTAATATAATGTCAGAAATAAAATGTAAACATTTGACTATTGACATGTGTACGCTAAGCAAGACTAATGTTCTTTTTATATGTAGTGTGTTATGGGTTTGGGGTAAATGCAAATGAGGCAGCAAGTGATTATTTTGTCCTGCACTATGACCAGAGGGAGAATGAACAAAAACGTGTTTCAAAATTGCATTTCTCACCCTAATCCTTGTCTACTGTGATTAATGTGGGTGTAAATGTGGATTGTTCTGGGTGAGGGTTCACCACCTCCTTTTCTCAGTACAGTTTTGCCTATAATATTCCACAGTATAACATTAAACACATTTATCTCCATGGAGAAAAGCAGGTAATGCCATCAGACCTAGTTACAGCTCAGATCTACAGAGAGGTGATCCTGCTCACTGTCTGAATACATGTTTCTCAATTCAATAAAAACATCTGTCATTCGAATAAGTCCAATATACTATAGATGCGTGTAATGCCAGACTGTGGAACATTCAAGTCAAAGGAAAAACATCTTCATGGAATGGATGGAGAAAGCCCAAGCAGATGGCATGACATAGAGGACTTTTACTTGAGAAAATAATGCACATTTAACGTTGATGTCTGGACAGTTTTTCTTATGGTCAAAGTTTTAATACATGCGTGAATGTACAAACAAGAAATAGTCAACCCTAACTCATTTTACTTTTCATAATTTTTCCACAGAACTTTTATCTGAGTAAACTACGGCGATGACTCGCAGCACGTCAGGTGAAAGATATTTGTGATGAGACGCTGCGGATGATGAAGAGGGTGAAAAATGGTGGACTGACATTTAAGAAGAGAAAGAATCCAATCGAATGCTGGATTCACTCTCTGCTGATGGATGGCATTAGTGAGGTTTCTGAGCTCTGTCTCCATGAGGGATTTTCTATTTTTCTCACTTTTTCTTATAAGGTCATTCGAAAAAAAAACAAAAAAAAAACAGAGTAGTAGTATTAAGTTTGCTGTGTGGGCAGTTAAATAGTTCCTCATAAATCACATGTGAATACCTCAATTGGATTCATCATATTTATTCATTTATTTATTTATTACAAAATTATTGTCCAAATTCATTCAGATTTTTTTTTTTACTGTTGGCCTGAAAAATGCTTCAAGACAATAGAAAGTTGTCCTTAAACATATTCAAATATTTAAAGGTGCACTGCATAATATTTCTAGTGGAGGGTCAACCACCTGTTTGTCTCCATGGAAATGTTGATTGATTTGTCTAGAATGTTCCACAGTATAGATTAAACGTATTTCTCAGAAGGGAGACAAGCAGTTAACAGCACTATACTTTACAGTTCAGATCTGTGGAGAGTCACCCCTAGTCACAGAAGTAATTGTATTTTGAGCAATAGAAACACCTGTAATGAATAAATGCCAGAATGGTACTTTTAATGTCATACCATGGAACATTCCAGGCAAAGGTTCCATGGACTCCATGGAGTCAAAACCACCAGAAGAGTTGTGCAGTGCACCTTTAACATTATCTTTTATGTATATTATTGCCTATTTTAATATACAAAAGAACTGAATGTTGTTGCACAGATTTAAAAAAAAAAGTGGTCCTGAAATTCCAAAGATGCGTTTTATGTCTTTAACCTTTCTGTTAAAATTTTGTGAGTTATACTTCCCATGTGATTTTCTGTTACTAAAATGAAATCTTGGAACAGTTTCTCTCATTCTTCTGTTCAGTTGTTTATCATTACTTTTTTGTCTTCTCTCATGCATAATCAACATAGAAATTTCTTCATTTTGGCCTAAAAGTCGTCATTGTACGAGCAAGTTTGTGATTAAAAAGAGTAGCTTGTAGACAGAACGGCATTTGCATGCTAATCTCCACTACAACTTTATAAGACATTCCTGAGGCTTGTTTACATTTGTTTAAAGCGGTGTAGTGACGCGTAACCTTTGGCTTTGTGTGCTCCTATTGGCCGGTCTGTGTGCGGGGCGTGTGTGCGTGTGTGTGTGATTAATGCGTGCGGAGATGGGGTGACATTTGATTTGGGAGGGAGGGGGCTGAGTCAGCACACACATAAATCCACCTTTACTGATGGAGTGAAGGAGTGGATGAAAAATGCCAAAGGAAATCCTAATGAGAGCAGTGACCGCCACAAGTCTACAAATGCGTGGAGTCGTGTATGATACAGGCAAATATGATTAAAGGGCCCATATTACGCTTTTCACTAATCTATGTTATAATGTTGCTTCCTCCTCAAGAACATACCTGAGGTTGAATCACTTGTATGATTTCAGCTCTCTACTGAACTAATGGTAAATGGAGCTGTTAACTTGAAAGCACTTCGTACACACATCACATGGTGGAGCAGCAATTGGAGCTTTTGAAATGTAAACAGACAAATAATAAAAAGGTTATTCAAACGTGTGAATGAAACAAAACACAACTCCAGGTCTGTTTTTGATAAGGTACAACATTATAACATGGGTTAAAGCTCACAAGAGTAAATTTTGTGTAATATGGGGCCTTTAAACAGTAAATAAATATCTGAAATGTAGCTTAGTCTTAACTTGTAGAAAATTTGGATTCTTTCTTCAAGTTAACAAGATGAATAATTGATAGCTACAAATTCAGTGTATCCAGGTATACTTTTCCAAAAGGTTGCAGTATACTCTTTCTGTAGTGATATTTTCCAAAGCCAAATGTATACTTCAGTGAAAAGATTACTCCATCCCTCCTTGATAAGATCCATATTACTATTTAACTACTACTACTACTACTACTAAAACAATAATAGGAAACCTAATAGAAAAGGAAACCACTACTCCATCCATCCATTTTCTTCCACTTATCCTGGACCAGGTCATGGGAGCAGTCTAAGCAGAGACTCCCAGACTTCCTTCACCCCAGACCCTTCCTCCAGGTCCTCAAGGGGGACCCCGAGGTATTCCCAGGCCAGCCGAGAGACATAGTTCCTCCAGTGTGTCCTGTGTCTTCCTCGGGGCCTCCTTCGAGTGGGACATGCCCGGAACACCTCTCCAGAGAGACGTCCAGGAAGCATCCAGAACAGATGCCTGAGCCACCTCAGCTAACTCCTCTCGACGTGGAGGAGCAGCGGCTCTACTCCGAGCCCCTCCCGTGTGACTGAGTTCCTCATCTTATCTCTAAGGGATCACCCGGCCACTCTGCAGAGGAAACTGCTTGTATCCATGAGCTTGTCCTTTCGGTCATTACCCAGAGCTCATGGCCATAGGTGAGGGGAGGAACATACATTAACCGGTAAATCGAGAGCTTTGCCTTTTGGCTCAGCTCCCTCTTCACCACAACGGTCCGATAGAGCGACTGCATCACTGCCGATGATGCACCGATCCGCCTGTCAGTCTCACACTCCATCCTCCTCTCACTCGATACTGCTACACTATACGGCTGCACTTATTGCCTTTATATAACAATTTCAAACATAGTCCTTTGTTTGTACTCACCTGGGATTAGGTTTTCAAAGTGAGGACTTGTTTTTGTATACTGAGTAATAACTGATGAGACAGACTCCATGCTGTTCTCCGAGGCCTCTCCACAGCGTGCCCATGTTTACCTCCCCTCTGCGCCCTCATACCTCCACCTATCCCTGTACATACACCCTTTTATAACATCTCATCATCTGTGTATCCAAACATAACATCACATTTGGTATTTTCTGTGAGTCTGTGCTGGCTTATAAACTGACTTTATCATGCGCTGTCTGGGTAACCAACTGTACAGCCACCACAAGCATAAGGCAATTTCAAGTTTTTATTGAAATATTTATTTGCTCTTGATGTTCGAGGCACCGTGACGAAATTTCTGTTCTGCCAGAAGTTGTTTGATATACAAGTGTGTATTTGTGAGTACTAGCTTCATGGTTTTGTGAAGTTGATGTGGAAGATACCCTTTGTAATCAAATAAAAGTACTGCGAGATGGCAAACTGTACTGAAGGAGAGAAGAAATACTACCCCTTGTAATAAATAATACATTAGTCTTATATAGCACGTTTCCAGATGCTCAAAATTGCTTTACATTTTCATGCATTATTCATTCATTCCATACTCAGTAGTTGTAAGATACTATTGTAGCCACAGCTGCCCTGGGATAGACTGACAAAGTCACCAACACTCTAAGGACATGACAGTTTGCATTGGAATCCCTGCTGCCCCACTGTGGTTCTTGGTACATCACTATTATATCACTGCTACTATTATTATATCACTACCAGTGATGGGAAGAATAATTTGAAAATGTATTTAATTAAAGAATACTGAATACTTGCATTAAAATGTATTTTGTAGCATATTTCAGTATGGTTGAATCAGTACTGTACTGTATTGCAGTGGTTCCCAAACTTTATTTCTGGGGACACACATTTTAAAAGTGACAAACCTTTGCGACCCAAGTCAATAGACATTATTTTTAAATTACAAAATAAAGGTGGATTTGTCCATTATTGAACATTAATGAGGATATTTTATTGTTGACTGAGTGATTGTGGCTCTCTGAACAATTAGTATTACTCAAGTTTTAAACAATGAAAAGCAGTAATTGAACCAGCAATAAAAGAGATACAGAAGTCGCCTATTTGGACATAAAATTTAGCCCGTTTCTTTTTGTTTTCAACATTCAATTGAAACAGCAATCTTGGAACAAAATAGTGAATAAAATAATTACAAAAAGATTAGAAATTATACAAAACATGTCTTAATATTTCAACATGTGTAAGAATTGTATAATGCAGATGCACATGCAGATTTTGACAAGGCGACCCCCCAAAAAATCTCTTGTGACCCACCTGAGGGTTGTGACCCAGTATTTGGGAAACAATTGTACTTGCACTTGTAATTGTGTTGTACTGTATACATCAAGTTGCATTTAAATTTGAGTGTAAAAACTCAACATAGAATTAAAAACAGCTTTGTTTGTTTCACCATTTGTTTTCACATTTCCTCTCCCAGATTGGAAGACAAATTGAACATGCACTCACCACAAGAAATGTGTTTTCTTTTTTCTTTTTTTTTTTGCTAATTCTGTGCTATCTGAAGCCTAAATTTTGTGATCTAATACCTCCTGAAATGTATCCCTTTGATTTAAGGAAAGTAACTAATCTGAGCATTACTGTACCAGAATACAATTGCTCAAATTTAGTATCCTGAATATGTATTTTCGGTGAATGTATTCAGTTGCTTTCTGACCACTACTAATAGGCTACTACCACCACTATTATTAACTATTTTGGTCACAGACTGACAAGAACTGACTGAATTCAGTCTCCATTGACTGAGCCAGTTTGGTCCAGTTGGTTTTGTTCAAAATCCATATGCTTAGAAATATTTTACTATTTTATCACATATGTACGGCAACAATTACCAAAGTCCCTTGGGCCTCCTATAGCTTTAGCAGGTGTCCCTTGTCTGCGCGGCCATACAGTGCATTAGAGTGTGTGCAGTGGCCCGATCACCATTACCGTCTGCTCCTGAACGCACCGATTTGTCAAGACAAACGAGTGACACGAGCAGGAGGACCGGGTGGGGGCAGGGGAGGGGCGCACTGGCTCTGAACCTGCTCCTGCCAGCAGCACAGCACTGCCCCGGGACTTTATTACCTGGGGGTGCGGAAATGGCTTTTGTCAACAAACGGCCCATCTATTTCCGCGCACATCAGTGGACTCAGGCACTAGATTTGTCTGTGCCGGACTGGGCCAGTGGAGTGAAAAGTGGAACCAAGGAAATAGGCTCCCTCCTGCTGCTGTCATATGCTTCGCTAATATTGTGTTAGGGCTGGAGAATTAAAGTGCATTGAACAGATAAATACACTTTTTTAATTATTACCTGCTCTGGTGGGATAGTAGCTACTTGTGGTGAATATGTATCATAGTTTTGAGTTAGTTCAATGGCAGTTTATGAAGAAATGTAGAAAACAAAAAGTTAGAAAATACAAGAAACAGAAGTCACAGACTGTCATGTCACGTATAAATATTTAAAGGTGCATTCTTGTTTCTGTGCCATTGTTCTGCCTAAATTGTTCCACAGTATGATATTAAGCAGCTCTACTTTAAATTTATTCAATTCGACATTCTGACTATGAGTGGGTTGCCTTTCCACAGATCTGACCTTTAACTTGCTCTGGTGGTTTGGTTTCCATGAAGATAAAAAGATTTAATAGCAATGAAACATTCCAGACAAATCAAATTCAACATTTCTGTGGAGATAAGCATTTGATGAACGCTCCACCACAAATGCTACACAATGCACCTTTAATGTATAATACTACTGCAATGTTCTATGTGGCTACCCTGCCCACTGAATGCTGTAATTACTTCAATACAGAAACCAGTCTGTGCTGGGCTATTGTGCTGAAAGATGCCTGTAGATGCCCCTGACTGTGGCTCTTCCTCTTCAGTGGTGGAGGTCTGATGGTCCAAACTGTTATTTGACTCCACACAGGCCTTTAGGTTTTTCATTGTAGCTACATTTTTTGGCCTGTTTTTTTTGGAGGGCTGGATCCCACAAACATTTTGGTCCTCAACAATTCTTTGTCATCATCATCGTCGCAGCTCCTCTTATAATTTGTGGTTCCAGGCTCCACATGGGTCTCATCTTCATCATGTTGGGTTTTTTTTGGCCTGAGGACTGGGTAGTCTATAGAAGGCTTCCCCAGACAAAGCCTCTTGAAATTCTTCATCTACGTT